GAACTCCATGATGCAGGTCCTTTACTTCCGGATCGAGTATGGTACCAGTTGTTTTTTTCAGAATCGATAAGATGAAACGCTTCACTCAGGGCCCGGCTAGGAACTATGGATGGTCATGGATGGTCATCGATTTTCTTTTTTGTCAGACACCTAGGAACTTGGTGGCTCGGTTTTTTGGGGTGGGTAGACCATTTTCATACCGGGTTTTGATTGTGGCTCAAACCTGTTCAGATCATGCCGCAGGTATCACCCGCGCTCGCGGCACGTGCCCGGCTGGAAGATAGCAGTCTATTTTAGTAGGGGAACCCTGCCCCAAAAAGGGGTAAAAGGGAGACCTAGTCGACCTCTCTCAGCCCTTCGGATCTCCAGCCGCGCTAGGCGCCGAGCGGAGATGGATCCCATGGAGATGTGGATGCCCAAGGACGCCCGTCGACGGGTCCCCAGAAACGGATGTGCCTCTTGGGACCTTTTGGTGGCGAAGGGAGAAATATAGGGATCACCCGCATTTTTTGGGGGTCCCTCCAAACAAGAAGACTTAGTCAGATGGGCTTCAGTTTCCTTTTGGCTTTCCTCCAAACAAAGCTGAACTGGCCCTTCTGTGGTGATCCGGACCAATGCATACATGCATACACGCATCGTTTGGAGGCTATGTCATCCATTGGACCTGCAATGGAATATACTGCTTCGAAGCCAGAGTCGCCGTAGGCCTAATTACCCAAAACCCGCCCTGAACCTACCTAAGCCCACGCCAAAACCTGCCCTACACAGACACTTTAACCCTATGCGGACTTCCTGAGAAACCTACCCAAAAACCTTCCTAAACCCACCCCTCCCTCCCGAAGCCTTTTCAAATCCCCTTAACAAAGCGGATCAACATCACTGCAAATTGCAACACAGGGGGCATTGGAGCAACACTTCCAGTGAAACGGGGTACAGGATTGCAGGCTGAGGGTTGACGAAACTTCAAGGGCGAAAGCTAGTGGTGGCTCTCGATTCTGCGATGAGAAGTCCCGAGAAAGATCCGCTGGTGTCAAAAACGGGGTGTCCAACGCTGGTGGTTTTCCCTTTGGTGTCCCTCAAGGTGAACCAGGTACCCTGAAAATAACTTTGGTGTATGTTGCTTGGATGTTAGCACTTTAACTTTTTGCTAACTAATGGGGTTTCCATTAAACCACTAAAAGTTAAACTTTTAGCAGGGGAGCAGAAAGCAATCAAGATAACACACACGCAATCATCAACGGATGCCATGGTTCCACAGGACGGCACGCAGAGAGCGGCTGACGTCTACAAGCGCTTCAAAGGTTGGAGATCGTCTCTCTCGTTTCAGGAGAGAGTTCCTTGGCCGAATCCTCTCAAAGCGAATCGAATTGATCGGTTGGTTTCACACGGTTAGGTTTTTTTAGACCCTGGACCACAAGTTTGTGTTCATTTTCTGGTCCTTGAATGCGAACCGCCTTGGCGCAAAAGGGTGGCCATGAAGCGGGGCCTTCCGGGGCAATTTATTGGTCATGGGAAACGCACAGAGAGCCTACTAGTCTGGCCAAATTGGGAAGCCGAATCAGGCGCGTTAACCTAAAGAAGAGCCCGGGTGAAAAACAACGAACTCTTCTAGTCGCATTGTTTGTATTCCAAAGCCCATTTTCTTTCACAAGAAAACTTATTGTTGCACTGTCCTGCCAGGTTTCGATGTCCAATGGTCCTGCATTTCTGCTTAAGCAGCTCTTGCCTACGTGCTTTCTGGTCGAACCCGGACGCAACGTAAGGTACGCAACTTTGGCATAATCTTCCATTTGCTTAAGAATATGTTTTATTGTCCCCTGTTGGTTTAAAGGGAATCTATCACTACGTGAAATATTTGTCCAAGGGTCTTAACCAAATGAAAGTAATTATGTCCCTGATGAGAAAATACGCGCCCCTTAAAACCCCCCCGTGACACGTGCGTTTATTGGAACTGGGTGCCATCGAAATGTAGGGAGGAGGTCCACCGAAAGGAAGAGATACCTTCCAGAATGCATATTTCTAGGGGTTGATTCCCCATTCTTTTCAACCATCGTTCTTTTCGAAAACCAGCTGTTTCCCATGGTTTTTTTGTCGTTTTCTATAAAGAAGGATCCCTGGAAAGAATGGGGAAGCTACCCTTAGAATTTTGATGTGTATAAGAAGTTAACCAGCTTTCCGAGTAAGGGATTTAAATAAAATCAATGATGCACTTGTTGTCTTTGTTTGGTCTTGGTTTGGACTTGCTTTAGAACTGGCTGCAGCAGGACCCGGGACATTCTGGTAGATTTGATTTAGTCTTGGTAAAATCCTGTAGTTCAGCATGGACGGTTTTCCGGCTTCGGACAAACGTTTGCTATTGTAGGGGGGGCCTTTACTATTCGGGCGAACGGATTAGATATCCCCAACCCAGGAGGATAAGTTCCAGATGGGTTGTAGGATTGTGTGCCAAGCTACAAAGAAATCCAGCGTCAACAGCAACGACACCAAGAGCATCAACAGCAGCGACGCCCGCGACCACGACGAAGACGACAAGAGTAGCCGCAGCAGCAACAACACCACTAACACAACAGAAGAGCCCAACAACGCCGCCGCCACCACCATCACCAACAACAACACCCAGAACAACACCAACACTAAACGAATTTCGACCGACCAACCAACCCCCCAGCCAGCCAACCAACCAGCCAACCAACAAAGCAGCCAGCCAGCCAGCCGCACCCCAAACGCCCCAAACTGCATGCCCCGTAGCACCCAGCCATCAGTCTCGCAAATCACTTTCCCCTCTTTATTTGAAGTTAGAACCCCTATAGCCTTCAGCTACCTGGGGAATTACACATACAAAAAAACGCAGAATAAACGCAGAAAGAAGCAACCGAAGAGATCAAGACACAAACAATCACACACAAAAAAAGACAGACAGACAGACAGACAAAAAAACAAACAAACCAAACCAATAAAACCCAACGAACCACACAAACATATCACAAGCAAGTAAGCAACAAAATTACGGACAGCAAGCCAAAAAATATGCTCGCAATTGTGTATAACGTCAAGACACATCAAGCTAGCCACCACCACCCCATCCCAAACAAGAACGACAATACAAACAGGCAAGCGTCACCCCCCCCCCCCCAAAAAAAAAAAACAAAAAACAAAAAGAAGAACAAAACGGCGAAGGAAACAAACGAAACGATGACCATAAAAGACAGCAACGCCAAAGAGCGCGGAAAAGAGGTCCGCCGCCAAGGCCAAGCTTCATTTGGCCCGGGCTTTGATCATGAACCCGGAGATCCTAATCCTTGAGCCTTTGGGCTCAAGGCGATGGGTGGAACGTTGGAGGGTGGGATGGGTGGAAGACCAAAGGATGGGTGAGACATTGGAGGGGCTGAGACATTGAAGTGGCGGAAATTTGGACATACAAAAAACATCATGGTTGATGTTGGGAGATATGTTTCCCATTTTTGCTTAGTATGGTTTAGTGGTTGACATCCAACCACTTAACTGCTAAAATTTACATGTTTGCTCCCCTCTCAACGTCAACCAAGTGGAGGGTGGGAAGGAAAAAGGAAAGTCGTATTTCTTTGCGTGCTTATCCTTTGAATCTTTCAACATGTTTGGTTCGATTGGGATGTGTTTTCCCATTTCTTGTCCCTCTTTCAGGTGGGCTTCCCCAACATGAGTTTCCCTGTCAAGCCCAAGCCGCGTGCCGGCTCAAGAAGCCGGTTTCTGCATTGGACTTGGTGGTTCTCCGGCTGCTTAAAGATCCAATCGTAGCAACTCGACGGCTAGCTTAGGAAGTCCCAAGGGCCACCCGGAAAGCAAACCAATGCCACACCGCCACAGGATTTTTACACTTTTGACTCAAGTGCTTTCCCATTCACTAGCAACAATTCAGCAACTTGCAGGGGTCAACAATGTTTGCTCTTTACTAAGAGGATGATGGAAGTAAGGACTTAATTCCTTGGTTGGTTGAGCGTTGCCTTCAGTCACTGTTCCTTTTTAAGTTGGTACAGGTCTAAACAATAGTGGTTGGTCTCAGAATCCCACAAATTGGTGGTTTGCTTTTGAAACAACGCCCAGAAGAGGTACCTTCAACAAAAAGCAGACCCGGCCCAAAACGGACATTTACACAGGAGCATTGCCCACCATCTTTCACCATGTTCTGCCACAAAATTGGGTTCCGGTCGGGTTGCAACAAGGGCCCCACCCTGCTGGTTGCTTGGTTGTGCCTTTTCAACCGCTCGCCGGAAAGCAGCAAGCGGCTCAGGCTAGAATGACCTGTTCTCGCGCCGTTTTACTTGTGAGGATGGACGCAAGATGGTTGCCAGACTTTGACGATCGCATCGTTAGTCGGACTGTCCACTTGAGGTGGTTGATGTACCCAAACTAAGGAAATAATCATCCATGTCTTCGGGGGGTCATGTCTCACACCCTACTGTCTTCATAGAGCGCCCTTCGTTACTTGTCAACCGAGGAAGCCATTGATGAACCTCGACGACAAAGAGTCGGAGACGGTCATGGCGGTCCTCCGGGAGTTTGAGCCTCCACCAAAAGTTGTGAGTTTGGTTGTTTCTGGGGTCACTGGGGTCTCTCAACATATTTCATATAGACAAGGTATCGATCAGACTCGGACAAATAAGGGATCGTGTCCCCAACATATGCAGCTTCCTACGACAGAGGGCACCTGTCTGACTGCAAAAGCTCTGCGCACGGTCTGCGGGGCTCAAGGGAAAGGCCGAGGCTGGGAAAGTGAACTGGCAGGGGCCGGAGGTGGAAGGGCTGGGCTTAAGCTGGGTTCGGTGAATGGGCTGAGGGTCGGTGAGTAAGATAGGGTTGGGATGGGAGTTGAGTCTGTGGGCTGGATTACCTGGATGTCATGCAGCCTAGCGCTGTGCAGGCCGCATCCCAAAGCGCCCTTCTGGTTAGGTCCCCCGGTAGTGCCCTTCTCTCCCCTTTTTTTGGGGGAGGGTTCCTCTACCAAAATAGACTACCGAAAAAAGGGTACCCTTATTCTAGAATCTCTACTGGAGGACCTAGTTGCGCTTACAAGGCTTGCGCTGATTTCGGAAGAGAGCACATGCTGGTCCTCTCATGTATCACGGGACCTTTGGTCAACCCCCACAGTCATAATGTTTTTCTCAGTTGCCCAAAGCGAATTGACCTTTTGACCTGTTGGCTAGGTCCACTTTTAGTGCTCAGCAGGGAATGTGGGAATCAACCCTGGCTTCGGCCCCCTTAAAGAAAACCACTAGTTGGATGATTATATCAATCATTCCATTTCTCATTTCCTATCGCACCAGCAAGGCAAAATGTGATCACCTTGTGTTTTGTTGGGTCCAATGAGGGCAACTCAGACTGAGATATGGATGTGCCTTAAACTAGGGGGCCCTTGAAATTGTCCCATTTCTTTCCCTTTAACACCCTGCCGAAAAGGGTATCATCAAAAAGACACACCCATATCTGCAAGGCTAGGCGGGGAGGCAGCGGGTTGGTGGATTTTTGGGGTTCAATGAGGGCAACTCAGACTCCTAAATCTTCTTCCTAGGTTCCCCAGTAGTGCCCTTTTCTCTTTTTTGGGGGTTCCCCTACTAAAATAGACCAAACCGAAAAAGAAAAGTTGGTACCAACTTATTCCAACCTCTCAACTCTGGACCTAGGCAACTTTCCCGAGAGAGAGATCTGAGGTCTCCAACCGCGGGGTGGCCTTAGACCTCGAGACCTTGGAGTATCGCCGGCCACGGACCTGCTTCTACAGCGCCTCGGCGCGGCTCTCGCGGCTCCTCTCGCCGGTCGGGCGGGCGAGAAGCAAGCGGTTCCAAGGCGAAGAAATCCCCGGGGTTTATATTAAGAATATGTGTTACTTTCCCGTGTTGGCTTTAAAGGGAAGCTATGACTATTGGACTGACCACCGAGACGCAGCCGGTGGCAAAGGAGAGTGTGCAAGAAGGGGGCTTCTTGTTGCTTGGGTTTCCAAGCAGATCCTGGCCGTTTCTGTTTGTTCGCGGTTTGTTTGGAAGCTTGGCGTCAGTTTTTTAGCCACCCAAAAACGTTGAGACCCCAGCCAGTCAACTCAGGTCGGACAAAGTTGGGCATGTCCTTTCAAGTGAGACACACAAGCACGAGCTAACATCGGCTCACCGGGTGCACATCTGGCATGCACCAGAACATTTGAGCGAACGCGTCGAGCTTCCTGTATTCTTTGGACCATTGTTTGACTAGTTTCAACTTTGTCTCAGCCGAATGGCTGTGGGTCAAAACCAATGGTACCATTTTGGTTGGTAGGTGAATTCACCACCCATTTTAGAACCTATTTTAGGTGGGATTGGGATGTTCACTGGGGGCTAACCGATTTGGATTTTGACCCATGGCCAAATGAAACCAACTGCTTTGCTACCCATTGGCAAGAACTTGGGAGGTGACCATGAGACCATAGAAAAAGGGTAACCGTTACAGGTCTCGGATGGCACGACAACTTGTGGAGTCTCCTGCAGCAGGAGGTATATATTGTGGGGGATTTACAGCAGACGAAACATCATATCTGAAATGAATTTCTGTGTACCCCAGATGTTTGCCTGCTAGGTGTGGCATGCCGGTCTGAAGAACTGGGGCAAGGCGTGTTTCATCCAGCAGATGGTTTATGGGCATTGCCGTTTTTGCAAAATTCCTTGGTAACTTAGACTTACCCAATACCATGTTTAGCAAGTCCATGTTGCGTGGATGAGTTTCCAAGTAATGTTGCCTTGATGTTGCCTTCTTTGTTTTCGGGTAAACTGGGAACCCCTTGGGCCAATCGAACAACTCACTAGCCCCTTTGGGCGCGACGTCTCCTACTCCATGTGGGCGGTCGCAGCTTTCTTGGGCTGCTGGGCATACGACCCCCTGGACAACGCACAGCTCGGGTGGGCGGACGACCAGATGTGGGAAGCGGGACAGGACGTTCCACAGCGGCAACCTTCGATCCGGAGCTCAGGAAGTTTGAAGCTTCCCGGGTGGCCGTTGGTTGCTCCCCATCTGACAGTCAGGGTTGACTTTTCAGGATCTTTACCAATTCTCTTTAGTGACCCTCAGCTAACCCCTGGCTTCCTGAGGTACGGGAAGGAATGTGTTTGAATCTCATGGCTCCAACTCATTGCCACGTTGAGCTTGGACTTTAGGCCGTCCGGGGGGGGTTTGGCGCGTCCATTTGTTTCCCAAGAGATTTGGCTCCGATCGCCGATCGCCAAGGCGCCGAACGCCGCACCATGAACACCAAGACTGACGTGGTCTGGGAGTTCAAGGAGGGCGGCCAGTTGGCGCCGCGGCTTTGCAATGGCCAAGAAGCGCGTTTTTTTTTGACAGGGACATTTTTGGTGGGGGGATCTACCACTAACTGCTTCTGAGGTGGTTCCTAATTAAGATTCAAAAACCGCATAGGCTTTTGAGCATTGAACATGGCATTTGGTGTGTTCAAGTTCCAAATGGTGTGCGTTACAGCAAAGCATGCTTTCGAACGAGACAGTTGAGCTGTGCGGACTTCAATGTTGGCTTTTCTTGGTGGAGATCGTTCACAAGAGCCCAAGTCGAGATTCTCTGAAAGACGGAGGTGCTGTGCAAGTTTGAGACCGCCCCTCCTGTTTCGAGCGCAAGGGCCTGAACGGCCTACGCTTGTGCCCAAGCTTGAAAGGATCTTTCAGGGAGCGACCTGCTTGATGTTCCCTGCCGTCAGGCAATGTTGCGGGAGCCGCTGGTCCACTGCCCCGTTTGGAAGAGGGTGAACACGCTCAGATCAGCTTGTTCCGAAACGTAATCGCTTCATCGCGTCAAGTACCGTCCAAGAAGCACAACTGGCCCTACCTCACTTTCCCAGAGCGATATGTACACCTCTTGGGATTATTTTTTTGCGGAAAACAGTTTGATACTTGTTCAAGCCAATCCGCGGAGCAACAGATCCCCGGCAGACACAGATAACAATCGGGGCCTAGACATGGTTTCCTTTATGGCACTTTATGGGAATCCCTAGGTTCATTCCCAACACCTTGGGTCCTTCCCTAAGAAAAGCATAATCTTCATGTTGGGGTCTCCCTGTTTTCGACATCTCATCCACAACCATGGACCTTACGGGGGGGTGCTTCAAGATAATTTTCCTTTCAAAAGGGACCCTCGTGGGTTTCATGGCAACATGGAGAGGGTATTCGGTCATTCTGTCCCTTTGAACCCTGTCTTGGTCTGCTCATCTGGCAGGTGCTCACCTTCCCCTGCTTCTGGACTTCAAACCTTCCTTTCAGGACACCCTTCTCCCGTCTTCTCACGAATCAAGGATGATTAGGCAGCGAGTGAATGGGTGACGAGGCGTCCCCCAGTTTCTTTCGATGGAGTTGCCCCATGCCCTTCACATCGATTCCCTCTGAGCCCCCCTTCCCCCGGCGCGAATTAATTCCAGCCGGCGGGGTGGCGGGGTGACCTCGCGAGGTCACCTCGGCTCCGGACGCTCATCCGGACAGCCCCATGGCCAATAGCCAATCCGATGCGAAGAGCCCTAAGCGCAAGGCGAGGGTGGAAGGGCTGGAGTCAGGACCGGCTTGGGGTATGTTTTTGTTTTGTTTTGTTAATATGTATATAAAATACATTCGCTCAACTTGGTTGTTTCGCCAGGTTGGTTGTTTGGTCGAAACGAGACTTAGATGTGTGTGTCATGGCTTTACTTTGCCGGCCATTCAAAGTCCCATGGGCCGTTTGCTGGCTAAGGCATGCACAGGGGCTCCAGGTGTGCTCGCAACTGCGGGATGGACCTGGCTGTCGATCAGGCAAAGCTCAGTGAGGAACGCAGGCGGCGGATCTGCAATGATCAGCAATTCTTTCGGCGAGGAATTTGGCTGGCAGGCCAGAAAGTTTTCGGCGAGAAATTCAACGGGCAGGCTCAATAATTTTCCGCGAGTTCCTCCGCGAGGGGCTCTCCCAAAAGTCAGGATCTCGGCGAGCAATCTCGGCGAGTTGCGCTGAGCGGCTTGGCCGGCTGCGAAGCACGAAAATCTCTCTCAAGGCCCAGTTCCACCAAGCCCTGCTTTCGGAGAGGCCCTCGCAGAGGGGCTCTCCTTGAGAGGGGGGTCTGGCCGACTTTTGGGAGAGGCGACTGCATCGCGCCCCAAGTTTCTCTCCCAATAGTCGGCCAGACCCCCCTCTCAAGGAGAGCCCCTCTGCGAGGGCCCCTCCGAAAGCAGGGCTTGGTGGAACTGGGCCTTAAGGAGATTTTCGTGCTTCGCAGCCAGCCAAGCCGCTCAGCGCAACTCGCCGAGATTGCTCGCCGAGATCCTGACTTTTGGGAGAGCCCCTCGCGGAGGAACTCGCCGAAAATTATTGAGCCTGCCCGTTGCATTTCTCGCCGAAAGCTTTCTGGCCTGCCAGCCAAATTCCTCGCCGAAAGAATTGCTGATCATTGCAGATCCGCCGCCTGCGTTCCTCACTGAGCTTTGCCTGATCGACAGCCAGGTCCATCCCGCAGTTGCGAGCACACTGGAGCCCCTGTGCATGCCTTAGCCAGCGACGCAATCAAGAACTCTCATCCTGCGAAAACGGCCCATGGGACTTTGAATGGCCGGCAAAGTAAAGCCATGACATACACAGCTAAGTCTCGTTTCGACCAAACAACCAACCTGGCGAAACAACCAAGTTGAGCGAAAGCTTTTTATATATATATATATATATTTGGATGGTGGGGTATGGTGTCTTTTTTATGTTTGGATGGTTTTTGAACCCAAAGGACACCAACCACCAACCAAAGGGGCCTGAACTTAGAGAGTTTCTAAGGGTGACAACCAGGTGTGTCTAAAGTGGACCCTTCAAGGGGCGTGTGCTTTGGGAATCACTAAGCCATCCAAAAGAAGGTTCCCATTTGTCGGAAGCGCTCAACCAGACTCAGGCAGACCCCTTTTGCGGTTCGAAAGGAAAGCCATGAGTATATTTTGGTTATGTGCCGAGAAAGAAAAAAAACGTCGACGGGATGGGCGTGTGTTTCATGTTTCCCTCGCCCTGATCCTCATGAGCTGACCGACGATTGCCGCGCTTTAGTTTGTGGGCCCTTGTTTGGTGCTGTCTGAAAGGGGACACGGAAAGACAGGATGGCTGGGGAAAAAAATAGAGGCCACCAGAAAAAAAAAATAGATGGCCTATCTGAGGCGATGCTCTTGAAACGAATGCAGTTCCTTGGATGCTACGCCAGGTTGTCATGATCCCATGCTCGGGGTGTTTGGAGATGTCAGGTCAAGCAGAAGCGGCGACCTCCATGTTCTTTACGAGTTTGGGTGATATCCCTCTCGGTGCTTGTGGTAAACAGTCACACTCATGCCTTGGAGCAATGGCTTTTTCGGACCTGGTTGGATGCCTTTCTCCTCCTCCCCTGGCACGAAACATGCAGGACTCAGCTTCTGGTGCAAAAATTGCGACCTCCTTTCCCAGTCTTGGCTTGACATTATACCCGGAGAGTGCTTCACCGGAGTAAGTAGGTGAAACGATCATTTTGCTTCCCCAGCCTTAGCTCCCCTTGTTCATTCTTTGCCTTTTTCGGGTCCCATTGGTTTTCCAGCCAAGTTTGAAGCAGCGCCCTGAAGGCAAATCAGAGTTTGCGTTTTCGGAGCTCCAAATCACTCCCCGGAAAGGCGTTCCCGCATGTTCCCCGCCGCCAGGGTCGCTAAGCGTCCGCCGCTTGGATGGCGGGGACGGGGGGCCCGGAAGAACAGGATCGCCGATGAGTTTGTTCTGCTTAAGCGACTCAGTCAGCTTATTCTGAGCGGCACAATTGTTGCCAAAAGAAGAGACTGCGTCCTGTAGCCATGGTGGGTGCCATGAATGAACTAGAAGGCATTCCGTTGAATGGCCATCTGGCCTTAAATGAGAATTGAGACAGGTTGTTTGCCACGTGTTGTTTTTTTTTTCAACTCCACATCGTAGGAGTCCTAATGTTGAGCCAATCTTTTGACTCGACTTTGGACCAGACGGAACGCGGAGAACTGTCACACGTGACTTGTGATTCCGCACTATTAGCCACCTGGCTTTGCGCGCGGGCGACAACATTTGTTGTTGGGAAACAATTCTCCCATTCTTGCTTCTTGTGGTTTAGTGGTTGAAATCCAACAACTTAACTGCTAAAGCTTTCAAATGTTTGCTCCCCTTCCAACGTCAACCAAGACAAGTACACCTGCTTGGCGTTTCGTTGCAGCCTCTCGGGGAGTTCGGATTCTTCAGAGGGGCTTTTTGTGCAATGGCCTTCCATGCGCCTCCATTGGCGCTCACGAAAGGGTGGAATCGGTCACGGGGATTCCCCCGCTGGGCACGAGGAAAACGGGCAAAATTCCTGGACAAAGAGCAGTTTATGTGTCTCCTGGTTTTGGAGAGGGCGCAAGAATGAGTCTGATTGTTTGAGACCTTGGACACAAACTCGGGCGCGCCATGGATTGGTGGGTTGTGTTCAGTTTCGGCGTTGAGCACTGCGCACCACTGGATCTTTGCTGGGAGTTCACTGGTTCGCGCGCCAGCTGTGATTGAGCTTGCAATTATAGGACAAAATAGTGGATTGCACTGATCACACTCTTCTCCCCCTCACACTAATGAACACGGAGCCTGACAGGGGGGTCCTGGAAGACCATTTTCCTCTTAAGACGTTCCATGTTAATTGGTGGGAGGGTAATGAAACTAGAAGTTTAAACATATTCGAGCTGAAGGCTGAAGGTAGAGGAATGCATGTCAGCTCCACTCTTCTCAATGCTTCTCCCAGCACTTCATGCTCAATTTGTCAATGAAGCTCAACTCACAGAGACCGACCGCACACGCATGCTTTCTCCCTCATGTGTATCCAAGAACACCAGTGCCTAAAATAGGGCTGCACACACCGCACTCCTGGCGCTGAAACAAAATTACATCGCTCAGGCAGAGCACGGCTGACCTGCGAATGGGTTTAGGTCCTGTTCCGATTCCAAGCAACTTACAGCCCTCTCTCCTGCAGTCACCCGGCAGTTGCGCCACTAGCCAATCTTTGAGGAATGTACCTACACCTTGCCTTGAGCCAAAGAGTTACCGCCATGTCCAGGCTACTCCAGAAACCGCTACTCCAGAAACCGGGCTACTCCAGAAACCAGGCTACGCCGGAAACCAGGCATGTTTGGTGGGTACCGTGTAGGTAAAGGGAAATGCACACGACAAGGCAAGCGGTTGAACACTTCTAGCGCCCGAAGCAAATGGAGGATGCACCTTGAATCTTAACAGGAACGCCCATCTTGAGGAAATCCTTGCTATGCCACTGCAAACTGTGGAAACCTTTTCGAACTCTGCGCGCCAAGGCTTCAGAGTCATCAGATTGACCCCAAAGAGAAGCCACCCCATGCCATTGGCGACTTCAGCGCCTCTTGCGCCCGATGAGGCCTTGGGCGCTTCCGCTGGGGGGCCCTTGAGATGGAATCGCCAGCATTGGCTTCAGTGAGCTTCAGGCAACTGCCGAGCTACACGTGCAGCTGTGGCTTTTGCTTGGTTTCAGCACGTGTTTCTGCATGTTTGGACATGGCCCCAAACGGTTCAGTTGTTTTCAACCTTTGGTGTTTTATGGTGTTTTGGATTGATGGTTGCGACTCGTTGAGTTGAGATTGTCGGACCAATCCCCACAGCCTGCTGTGCAAAGCTGTTTGGCGCTCGCTTGCTCGTAACTGCGCCGGCCCCCCGCCGGAATGTGCTGCTTGTTTGTGTATGATATCAAGGCGATCGCTGGCGGCCAGTGTTTCACAGGCTCTGCCCAATGCTGGCAGAAATCGAGAAATCGATGCAACCGGTCTCATTTGATAAGCGCTGATGTGAATTGGTGAATACCATCCAAGGTACCCTCCTGAAAAGGCCTGCTGTCCCTGTCATGCTTGTTTGAAAAGTGGGTGGTTGGGGGACAGGAAGGCGCAAACCACCCCCCAATGAAGCTTCATGCATCCAAACCCAAGAGGAGTCTCCACCATCTCAGGAGGGTCCCTTACGTGACAACCCCTCAATTCAGGGAAACTTGAGATTCACGTGTGGTTTCTTTGTGGCCCCGACTATGAGAACCATCCGAAAAAGTACCCCTGGGTCAAGAGCTCAATCATGGAATCAGCCGTGCTCACTTCCTGGTTTCCTGGACTCTATACGTCTTTTGGGGCTTAGACCTGCCAGTTTCGCGGCAATGTTGGACTCCTATTTTGGCGCCGAGCCTTTCTGTCTCAGCCTTCGCCCGGGCCTTTGACAGGACCTATGTTTGACCTGGGCTAGAAATATTCTGCGCTAGGTGTTGTTTTCTTATGTTGAAACTGATGCTCGAAAACAAATCCTAACTGCTTGGTGTTTGCGTTTGTCAAGCGAAAGTGCTTCTGTTCTTGCAGCCATCTTGGCTTGTAGAGCAGGCCAAAGATTTCGCGCGGGCTTGCGGAGGCGTGAGAGTTCTTCCAAATCGATCTTTTCGCTGAGGCCCTTCAAAAGCGGCGATTTCACTACCCACCAAGCGCTTTTTTGCAGCTGAACATGAAGCCCCAGGAAGTGCAAATTCTAGAAGAACCTCCTCCGCCTCACAACGGGAACCCTTTGTTTGGGCTGCTTTGTTTATTTGCCGGGGGAAACTGGAACCATTCACCCGGGAATCCATTGAACACGTTCTTTCTCCTCGCGTTGCAAGTGGGAAACATGCATCTAAGTGGTGACCTAGATTCACTGAAAGCATGGAGTGCTTGTATGTTTGTTTGCAAAGCTGGTTCCACAAGGGAGATTTGCGCAGACGCGAGGTCTCGCGTGGGTTTCAGTCCCTGCGGTGCAGAGTAAGTTCATGTAGCTTCAGCTGCCGGGGGGGGGGGGAGTAGACACAGCTAGAGGCGGACTATCAATTGAGTTGAGAGGTTGCAATGTTGAAGCTGGAGCTTCCTAGGTGAGCTTTGTGCACTTCGTGCATCGCACTTCAGGACTGCATGTGCAAAAGAAACCTTGCATCTGTTTTGTCAGCATTTAGTGGACCCCTGTGTTCAAAAATATTTCCCAACCAAACGGCAAGGAGTTCAACACAAGCATGACGCTGATGGGAAGCAGCCTTGCCAGCTGGTGAAGGCAGCGTCTCAGGTAGCAAAATGGCCGACAATCCGATACCACACCTTGAAGAAAAAACCGTTGCGACTTTCGAGCTGGAGCTGCCAAAGTGTACTTCGCATGCTTCAATTGCATCAAAGGTAGCTGCGAGAAGCCAACACCTACGAAGCTTCCACTCAGACAAAGGCCAGCAGCAAAAGCAGCAGTATAGCGATAGCGGTGTCGGCAACATCAGTGGCGGTGAGTAGTGATAGTGATATTGGGAAGAGTTTTGCCCATTAACATATATGCGCGCATAGTGTTCAGACGCTCGCCAGCCTGACGTTTGAGTCAACTGGATGAGCGTATGCTATGTGGGCATACCATTTTCTATCTCCAACTTGCGTGAACCTGAGCGAGACTTTCAGGAGAAGGGGAGATAGGTCTGTCCTAGGGACAGTTTGGAGTCTTGCTTAGGACAGAACTCTTGCATCAGCCCTTCCGGTTGATTTCACTGGACCGGTCCTGTCTAACAAGTTTAGCTGAGGTCCATGTCGAGTCAACCCCAAGTCTCGTTAAAAAAACTCAGTGCTCTTGGACACCAAACCGTCAGCGCGCCAGCCTTTTTTTGGGGGGTTTCTTTGCGGCCTATTCCCACGTGGTCAACGAGCAGGATCCCCAAAAGCTAGGCCTTTCTCACTTCCGCTCTAGAAGGCCGGGAGACGAACTGGGTCTAGGTCCCGCAGCTAGGTGCCCTTTCTTACCCTTTTTTGGAAGGGTTTCCCTGCTAAAATAGACTACAGAAAAGAAGGCACTCTTATTCCAACCTCTACGCAAGGACCTAGCTGGTCCAAGTTTCTTGACAGGCCCCTTTTTGGAGCCTGAAGGACCAAGTGTTGACTTCTCGACGCAGCCAGGCATGGGCAACCAAGCATCTCAAGCGCCCAAGGCGGGTTGGAGGACAGTCAGAGCGATTCCTTTCTCCGCGCCGCCAAGCCATCCGGTTCCTTAGTTTTTTTAGGTTTTTTTGGGTTCAGCTGGGTTTCCTCAACGAAAAGTTAGTCACTTCTAGCAGGGGATCTCAGGACAGCCCAGCATTGGGGCAAAACTATCCCAGTTCAGGCTTGTGAAGGCATTGCACCATTTGCAGAATCCCTTCCACGTCATCTCCTGCCCGTGTACTGCCAGCTACGTGAATGTGTTTCTAGCCAAAACAACCGGTCCAAGACATACTATGTATTGCTGTGGTTGTCAAAACTGTTTTGGGATCCCATTTTGTTTGGTCGGTGAATTCACCACCTAGTTAGAGGCCCTATTTTAGTGGTTGGATCGGGTCCCGTTCACTGGGGGCGGCTAACCGATTTGTGTTTTGACGCATGGCCTCAGACTTTGGGCTCCAAGTCAAGCTCCAGGTCAGACGGTTGTGTCCCGTGAATGTGTTTCTACCCAGGATTGTGGGATCAAGAGATTTTCCCCCACTTCTGTGATACAAGGGAATCTCCCCCTTTATATGGGGGGTTAGTCTTTGGGAAGCCCTTTTTGTTGTATCACACAAGTGGATTCCATTTCCCACAGCCCGACTTTGGGCCTTGTGTCAGACGCTTGTGTCCCGTGAGCCACGATTGAGGAACATGGGGATGGATCCCCCATGTTGAACCCGGTTCGCCCTCTTTTGCGGTGTTTTGGCATAGAGAACTAGAGGCAGCAGCGCAGTATGGACGCCCTCCAAACACCCAGAGCTTGTGAAATGCTCCCTTTGTGAACCCACAGTTGCTGCGTTTTGAATCTTGAGAGTTTTCAGTTTAGGTAAGTGTCTGATTCTTTTTCGAAGAGTTAGATCAAGGAATTTCCCAATAGTGTCAAACACCCAGAGGTGGCTAGTCGGGACTCAAGACGATTTTCCTCGGCTTTTTGTTTAGGCAATGAGTTGCTCAACTGAATTCCATCCAACTGGTGGTTCAATATAACATCTTCTCGGTTTAGCAAATACAGATTTCTTGGTTGACCTTGTTGTGACTCATCCAGCGAAATCCACTATGGGTGTCCTTTTTTGAGGGCACCCCCGTTTGGTTGGTTTTATAGGACAATAAGGAAAAAAGCGCATTTTGTTGGGGGGTAGCCCAAAGAAAGACAGACCTGTATGGGTGTGGCTCAAAATGAAAGAGCTAGGGCAAAACCGCAGGTTGTACTCTTTCCATTTACAAAAAATAAAGTGCCATTTGGGGTTGCCCGTTTTTGAGCCACAGGATGACCATTGGCGGAAACTACCAAAAATATATGATATTTCAACCACATGGTTGAAAAGTGACCCATGGTCATTCGTGTTACCCAGAAGATTGATCCTGGCCCCCGTAAATGAAACAGAACCAGAAGATATTTAAGACGTTCTGTGGGGATCCCACTCTTGGGGTGGCGACCTGCCACTTCCTGTCCAAGCCCCATCTTGGGGTTCCCTTCTTTGTCGAGCCATCGGATGACCAGTGGCTAGTTACCCATGGTCATTCTTGTTGGCCAGATTATTGGAAACTACCAAACCGATATTTTCGAGATTTCAAGCACATGGTGGAAAAGTGACCCATGAAGTTGTTTTATGGAATTTGGGGGGCCCATGGGAAGGCCGGTCCTTTGGGGGCGCCCGAAATTGGAAAATTTCCAGGGCACAGGACACCGCCAGCATTTTCTTGAGGCCTTCAGCGCTCTGCGGCGAGCTGGGGAGCCGCTGAATACCTTGGGCTACCAGGCGACCTCGGAGCCGCTGGCCGCTGATTCCGGAAAGGAAGCCGTTTCGGATGGGTGGCTAGGTCTCCCAGCAATTGGTGCCCGACCTCTCACCAACTCTTTTGGTTGGGAGAAGTAGACTATCGAGAGAAAAAACAGGTGCCCTTACTCTAACCTCTCTGCTGGAGGACCTAGAAACTCTTGGACATCACTTGTTCCAGGGGGCTTAAGCAAATGCAGGGATCCGTATATCAATCAGGTTTAGGGGTTCCATGTGAAATGGATTTTGTGCACAAGGTTTAGGAGGGATTCTATTCTATTGATGTTCCTGAAAGGGTTGAAAAGGCAAGACTTGCCCTAACTGCAAACAAGCAGTGGCGGAGCCGTCGGGATTCGGGGAGTAGCCACAGGCGCCATGAACAGTAGCCACAGGCGCCGTGAACTGACTTTCCTTTGCCTTAAGAACATGCCAACTACGTGGTTGCCCCTTAAATAAACGCTAGGCTGTTTGCTTAAGCTTCAGTCGGGTTCCAGACGGCCTTAGGGCAGTGGACTCACGGACATATTCACCCCAAGCCTCTTGCACTTCCAAGCTGGCTGCGAGTCGCAAGCATCCATGTGTCGTGTTTGGTGTTTGGTGTTCTTCCAGTCGGAATTGGGACCTATTGGTCTTCCATGTGTGGCGAGCCGTTGTGCTTTGGTTGGGTCGATCGAGAAGTGGTCGTAACATAAAGACTGTACCCTTGGG